TCATCTGCGCCTCATGTCCTAGGCCGATTTGGCACCGTTTATTTTTATCCTCTTCAGTTATATTAAATTATATTAAATAGTGTTAGTTTACTGAAGAAGGAGATTCACTGTAAATTTTCTGGGGTGGCAGTATCTCACAAATTTTCACGGGTTTCTTACCAGTTCGTTCCTTCCTTTAGTGCGATTTATATTCATCGTTTGGTGCTCCAGCAGTGCGATACATGCAAAAGTTATTAGAAAATAAGAGCTACGCACAGCATTTCTACATGCAAATGAAACCGTTTAGGGCATTTTTGAATTGTTTTCTTGAATGCTTAAACATGAAATCGGATCTTGGATTCAAACACAGCACGATTTCTTCAGCCATCGCATGGGCAAAAGGATCGCCGCCTGGAGATGCGCTTGCTGTGCTTCTCGTTAATCGAATTCGTCGTATTCATTCTTAACTGTATCATATCAATACTGCTTTCTGTTTTTGCTGAACAACACGGCTCAACCGTTGTCAAAGAAATATGGTTAATTGCGTTTATTTTTACTTGCAAATTAAGAAATATTTTGATCAGCTTTGCTTTATCGTTTCACTTCCACTCGCCACTGAGGTACAACTGGCAACTTCTCCATTCTTCTCCATTTTAGGCTCCTTTCTCTACACATTCCATTCGGCATTAAAGTGGACCTTTTCATCCCATGGCGACTTTCCCTGTATTCTCAAGAGCACCATTTAACAGTTGTACATGTTCCATAATTTGTTGATTTTTTATTTGAAAAAATCTTCGGATATTCTCAGGAAATCCGCCCAAAAAAGTTACTGAGTCGACGATTCGATTTTACGAATGGCATAAATAATCCGTCAAAGACTCCTCCATTCGTTTCGAGGATAAATTAACATTAGCACAGACCAGAGGGTCGAAACCGCCATCAGCTTGCTTGTAAGCAACCCCTGAAAGAGAAAGCCATTGACTTCAGTGATTGTCGTTGACGTTTGCAACCAGAAATAGCCTGTTATTTCTCGAATATCTTCATCCTTCGCACAGAGTGAATACGAATTTGAAGGGAGTTCTGACGCTCGACAAAAGCATATAGCGGTATCAAAATGGCTATTGATTCTAACTAATTTTGCGTTTCAGGGCATTAGGTACCGATCTGATGTGCTTGGTGAGCCCCTGGGGATTAATCATTACTAGCAATACAGTTCGACAGCTAGTGTTTGGCTTAAGAAGCGGTGAATGATATGTTCAACTAAACTGGATTAAACCTAGGATCCAGTGCAAATCGATTGTAATGTCTTCATCCATTGGCTACTGTGATCAAAAGGTAACACATTTTTATGCGTTTTTGCTGTGCTCTATAGCGCTGCTACAGCCAGAAAAAACGCATA